TGATTTATCTTTCCATATATCCATTAGTGTGCTCAAACCAATGGCAGTTGATGGTGACCGATTTATAACATAACAGACAATTTTAACTCCTTCTACCCAAAAAGACTTATTTACTTCAGTTGTTCGGAACATAACTCTAGTTCTTTTCAGGAGAGTTCTATTCATATTCTCTGTTATACCATTCTGCTGAGGCGTATGTGGGACAGAAAATTGTCTAATGATACCCTCTTGGTTGCAAAATGCTAAAAATTCTCCATCTACAAATTCTCCTCTGTTATATGCCACAAGCACTTAATTCTTTTCACAATTTGAAGTTCTACTTGTGCTTTGGGTTCCTTGAACTGTGAAAACACATATGATTTCTTCATAATAGGGTACACCCACAGTCTCCTGGATTTATCATCGATGAATGATACAAATATTTGGCTTCTCCGAGGGATAGTACCGGCGATTCCCACACATCATAATGAATCAAGTCCAATATGTGTTTACTTTTAGTAGTCACTCTAGCAAACTTCAATCTATGTTGCTTGCTTATCACACAGTACTTGCAAAAGGAAAAACTAACTTCTTTAACCACTTTCTGACATATGACCAAGTCTATGATGCCACATGATCACTACATCTTCTTGACTTGTTACCGCAATTGATGCATCAACTTCTTACAATGTATCTCCAAACAACACATACAAATTTGTCATGATCTTTTTTTCCTTTATGACCACCAAACTCCCCTTCATCACCTTCAAGATTTCCCTTTTAACATGGATCTTACACTCGAGGTCATCTAATTGTCCAATGGACAATAAATTATTCTTCAAGTCCTTCACATGTCATACCCCTTGAATTATGTGAACAGTATCATCATATTTTTTAATTTTGACGGTACCAACTCTAGTAATATCCAAGACATGGTTGTTTCCCATGAAAACGAATCCACCTGAGAATAGTTCATAAGTGTGAAACCAATCTCGGTGCGAAGTCATGTGCCATGTTGCACCTGAATCCACTATCCACTTGTCATAAAACTTCTTGTCACCATTAGAGCTAATTACTGTTTTATTCACTAGAATATCTCAATCTTCCAAGGTACTTACAAAACAACCTTGTGGGGTTGATGCTTCAGAGTTATTTCCTCCATTCTTCCTCTTCCAACACTCTTTCTTCGTATGCCCTTTCTTGTCACAAAAGTAACATTTGATTTTAGAACTTTTCTTATTTCAAGGCCTTTATCAATCATTATTTTGATTATTGCTTAAGTCACATTTAGTTCATCTTTCTCTCATCATCAAACTTCTGCTTGTTTGAAACTTTCGTCCTTACTCATCTGCCTGGATTATTCTTCAAAAATAGCTCTGACGACATCCTCAAAGTGCATATTCTTATCAATATTATTATTTGTAATATTGATGATGAGTTGATCATACGAATCAGGTAAACTCTGAAGTAGAAGCTCTGCACGCTCATTTTCAACTATGTTGCAATCTACCCCTGGTAGTTGGGTAAACAAGGTATTCAAATGGTTGATGTGTTCTGTCACTGATGTGGACTCACTCATCCAAAGATTATAGAGTTTACTCTTCAAGAATATTCTTGTATGAAGTGACTTCACCTCATATAGTTTAATGAGGGTATCTCAAATCCCTTTCGCAGTAGTCTTCTCCGTAACACTGGATAAAATTGAATCTACCATTGATAAGTGTAAATTCACAATAACATTATCATTCATTTTTTTCCATCGTTGTTCATCCTTGTGTTCCACGGTTCTTTCCGTACTTGCATCAATACAATTGTCCTTCCTCAAGATTGTTTTTATATTCAATTTCCATGATGAAAAATTACTCCCATTGAACTTCTCTATCTCATATTTTGTTATCATGGTTCCAAACTGACTTATGCAATCCTCACTATGAATAGTATTACCTACTGGAACAACAATGGTAGACCATGAACAAAGATAACCCTTTTCTGATGTAGAAAATCAGATTAACCGCAACTACAAAGCATAAAAAATAATGTATAAGTATGCATCAAAATGATAAATTATTAACATTAAACATGTATCTTTATTACTTAAAATATCTTAGATAAGAAATTTATAAGTAACATTATTTTACGAGGTTTAGAGCATCTATCAATTTGAGAGAAAAAGATATATACTTGTTACTAACTTAAAGCATCGAAATGTCTTTGCAACTGAACCTCCCTCTCATTCCAAGAGCATTTGCAAAATTCGAGTGTAGTTCCTACCTCAGGTTCATTTATAATCTCAATAATAGGGGGAGCCACCCTAATCCTCTTGGAAACTCGGCCTTCAAGCTTAGTTTGGGTTTTCTTGTAGTCAAATTTAGGGTCCATGATTTTTGGAAAAACTAATAACTATAAAAAAAGATTTATTCTGAAAAAAGTGGAATAAAACTTACCAAGAAACATAGCTTTGGAATCCTCGGTAAACGGGAGAGATAGAACATCTTTATAACTAATAAGTCGACGAAGACAAGAAAAAAGTTTGATATCCTCTTTGTCCTCGAGTGATAACATATGTTCGACTCGAGATATAAATTTATGGGGAGTTCACTAGTATAGGGGAAAGCGAGGAATATGGTTGAAATGAAAAAGGAGACATTGGGATGGATCATCCTGAGCACATCTAATTTTAATCAAACGACTTTTGAGATTTTTAAAGGATGATTAAAAAAGGGTGAATAAGCCACCATGTTGGAATTCATTCAATAATACCCAACCAACCTTTTAACCTTGCTTTAATTGCTAAAAATTTATTTACAATAGGAGACATACCTAGAATATCACATAAACTTTGGAAAACTTTCATGAAAGTCCAACTATTAGGATGACATTGACTCGAAACAGCACACAAAATAGAGAGTACATCGCATTTGAAACTTGTAAAAGAAACTTGAATATCTAAATCTTTTAAGAAACATTCATATATGAAAGTAAAATCTTCACCATTAAAAATGTTTCATGAAAACTCAATAAGAAGAATCACAAGGTTCAACAATGACTTATTTTACGTTAGAATTAGAACAAACACCATAAGTTTTACAAATATCCTCCGTTGAAGAAGAGGAAGTAAACACAAAAGAATAATTAGCAACTTTTCCATGCACCGACTATATTCAAGATCAAATATTGGAGGAAATTTATCCCTCCTAGTTCCTAAAGAGGAACTAGGACCTATTAAAGATTCAATCGAACATTAGATTAAGAAGAAAACAAAATAATGAAAATGTACGTACTTAAGATTGGGACTGAGATTAGAATGTTTGATAAAAATAAAAAAGATTTGGATGCTCAACAAGAAACTCATGATGAAGAATCAAGAGAAGGGTATAATGAATGATAAAGGGAAACAAAGATTTCAACATGATCTCACACTATTTTTGAGAAAAAATCGACATAAAATTATTACAAAAATCCCTCATTAATACTCTCTTAGACGTCATCTTATCGAAAGTCTAAAAGACTTCTCAAGAGTTGAAATAAGAAAATAAACATAGATAATATTATAGTTCATAGATCTTCATTGTAGTCAGATTTAGTCAAGGACTTACGTACTTGACAAGATTTCATAATCAAAATATTTTTTCAAATTAGCACCTCTTAAATGAGTATTAATAGGAAAATATCTTAAATAAGAAATTCATAAATTATATCATTTCATTGGTATTAGATCATTTGTCAATTTGAGAGAAAAATATATATACTTGTTACTAAGTTAAACATGAAAATATATACATGTGGACTTCTATGTTCTAATAACACTTGTTATTTACCTTTATTAAATATTTTTATCTCTTTTTTAAATAAGAACACAAAATATAATAAAATAAAAAGATATATTTATTCACACATTCTATTCAAAATCACTTTTCTTTTATCTCAAAATAAATGTCGAAATTCTATTGATAACCGTTTAACATACAAGAAATAAGATAATAAGAAAGAATTATATTAAATAATCAATTATGTCAATCTAATAAAAAGAGGGAAAGAATATATATATATATATATATATATATATATATATATATAATATTTCTAATATTAGTAAGATTTTTTTTCAAATTAAACAAGTGTTAGCTACGTAAAACATATTTAAACATGTCAAATTTAAAAATTAAAACTATCCATTTAAAATTTAACTAAAAGAATCACTTTTAAATTTGGAGACTAAACATATTTTTAAATTTGAAAAAAAAATATAGTTTTTAAATTTAAGAAACTTAAAATATTAATTTCATATTTAAAGAATTAAAAAATAAATTTTAAATTTGAAAAGTTAAAATAAAATTTAAACTAAATTTTAAAAACTAAAAATATTTTAGCCACAATATTTAAAATATAAAATTTGACGTTATTATTTTAGTAACATATATAATTATAAATGTGATTGTCATGTTAATCATGGAATGTAATGTTATGAGTAATAAGAGATAAATTTTTTTATTTGGATACCCGAATGAACTGATCATTTTTAATTTAGAGATTAAAAAATTGACTAAAAAATTAAGCTAATATTAAAATAACAGCTGCGAGGTCCTCGTGGAAAGCTTCTTTTCAGCAAATGATTAATGGATATGGATCTTCTGAAGTTTAATAATGTAAAACGCAGTCTGTGCACTTTGATCCAACGGTTGTTACTAATTGTATCAAATTATTCATTTTTTTATAAATCAAAATTGGTATTTTAAGGGTTAATATTAATGCAGCTTTAAAGTTAAACGGCCCAGGATCTGAACCCTTAACTTTGTATTGACAACGTGAGGAAATAGAATAACATTATTAGAAGCATGGTGCACGACAGGTTTGTAAAAAAAAAAAAAAATTCTTGTTCGTTATTTGTCGTCTGAGAGAAAAACAAAAAAATAGAATAGGGAAAGAAAGTAAATGATAAATCTTTATTAAATCCTCTCGTCGTTCGAACACACGACGTAGATCTTCCCAGATACATAGTAAACCAAAGCATACTTACCGACATGGATTCTGTTCGTCTTGTACCATCCAAAGGAAATGGCAACGGCAAAATCGATAAGCCTCTGCACATTGCGATGCTTCCATGGCTGGCCATGGGTCACATATACCCATACTTTGAGGTGGCCAAGATTCTTGCTCAAAATGGTCACCATGTCACCTTCATAAACAGCCCCAAAAACATTGATCGAATTCCCGAAGCCCCCAAAACCTTACAGCCGTTCATTAGATTGGTGAGGTTACCCTTGCCACACGTACAGAATCTTCCAGAAGGCGCAGAGAGCACGATGGACATTCCCACCACAAATAACTGTTTCCTCAAGAAGGCTTATGATGGGCTCCAAGACGCCGTTGCTGAGTTGCTCAAGACTTTAAAACCTGATTGGGTTTTCTACGACTTTGCAGCTGCGTGGGTCACCCCAATAGCTAAGAGCCTCAACATTCCGTGTGCACATTACAACATAACCCCAGCTTACAACAAAGTTTTCTTTGATCCACCCAAGGACAAAATGAAGGATTACTCGATTGAAAGCATATGTGGCCCTCCCACTTGGCTTCCTTTCACCACAACAATTCGTCTCAGGCCTTATGAGTTCTTCAGAGCATTGCAGCGTAATAAAGACGAGGAGACAGGAGAAAAGGCTGATTTTGATCTCAACAAAGCATATTCCAGCTGTGACTTGTTTCTTCTCAGAACCTCCAGAGAGCTTGAGGGAGAGTGGTTAGATTATCTTGCTGGGAACTACAAGGTCCCTGTGGTTCCAGTGGGGTTGCTTCCACCATCCATGCAGATAAGAGATGCCGAAGAGGAAGATAAAAACCCTGACTGGGTAACAATCAAGGACTGGCTGGACACACAAGAGTCATCTTCAGTGGTGTACATTGGATTTGGGAGCGAGTTGAAGCTGAGTCAGCAAGACCTCACTGAGTTGGCTCATGGCATTGAGCTTTCTGGGTTGCCTTTCTTTTGGGCTCTAAAGAACCTAAAAGAGGGGGAACTTGAGTTGCCAGCGGGGTTTGAGGAGAGAACGAAGGATCGTGGGATTGTATGGAAGAGTTGGGCACCCCAGCTGAAGATATTAGCTCATGGGGCAATTGGGGGATGCATGAGTCACTGTGGTTCTGGTTCTGTCATTGAGAAGCTTCATTTTGGGCATGTTCTTGTCACTCTTCCGTATTTGCTAGACCAAGCCCTGTTTTCAAGGGTGTTAGAGGAAAAGAAAGTGGCGATTGAGGTGGGAAGGAACGAGAAAGATGGGTCCTTTACCAGGGACTCTGTGGCGAAGACATTGAGGTTTGCCATTGTGGATGAGGAGGGAAGTACCTTAAGAAACAATGCAAAGGAGATGGGGAAGGTTTTCAGTTCGGAAGAACTTCATAATAACTACATTCAAGATTTCATCGCTGCGCTTCACAAATACAGGATTCCTTTCAGCAGCTAAGCACGGTTTATTATGCCTTTCATTGTGTTCTCTCATTAATGTGTTTTGGTCCGATAGATATATTGTAATAAATTATCTGTAATAAATAATCTATAAATGAATAAAAAATAATACGAGATAAATAAAGATTATGGTTATTTATTTCCTATGAGATAAATTCATATAACTTCATTTATTTATTTCCACCAGTATTTTATTATAGATATTTGAAACATGTATATGCTTTTTTAACTTTTGTTTAATATTACATCTTTGCTTCTCTCATGTTATTGTAATTGATAATTATAATAGTTAAGTGACTCAGATAAAGAAATAATTCTGATAAGAATCACATATGAATAATTAAATTTTTAAATTTTGATAGTTATAATAAATTCAGAGTGAACAAATAATTCTATTTTAATGCACAAGGTAGATAACTAATAGTGCTTAATGGATAACCATAGCTGAAAGTCTCAATTCTTCTATTTTGTTCTCATAATTGGTCTTATTTTGAAGCTCTTCCGGGACACAAACATAGCCGTAATTCTCTTCTACCCGATTATTTATTTACAAAGCAGAACTTCGAAACAGAGATACTTGGCACAGACATTAATTCTAAAACAAAACTCAGTTGTACGTGATCAAATCATATAATGTGGGGTCTAATCAAAACTTCTTTTTTTTTATCAAATTTGTGATTTGAATATGATAATACAAATCAGAGAATTTTGTTACAGTTACCTCTGACTTATTTCTGGTCCCCTAGAAGAAATCTTTTTAAGGAAACCAACAAAGAAAAGTGGCAAAAAAAAAAAAAACAATGCAGAGGATTTGAAGACTTGTTTCAAACCCTCACACTCAATGGATGCTTCAAATTTCCCACATGAAGCAGATGTTGTCCGAGTGGAATTTTCCTGTTGCCAAGCTCATCAACCACACTCAAATCCTTACAAACATCTACCTTGAACCTAACATGTGCTTCTGATTTTCTTGGCAAGTGCACTTTCTCAAAACCCAACAAGTGTTTCTGAGGAGCATTATGCACATGAGGAGGAGTAAAGAACAATAAAACTACATGGCTACTGCCCCGTTGCCCCATGTTCTTGACCCCAAGGTGGATATCAAAGGCCAAGTTTCGGCAATGGTCATCAGCAACATCAAGTGACATGCATTCTGAGGAACGGCATTCATGATCCTCTGCTAGAGGAACAGACACCAAGTGTGGTGCCTTAACTATTTTATGATCAATACTTGAGAAACTTATTCCATCTCCAAAGGAGAACACAGTTTCCCCTTTGTAAAATCTGTATGTTCTACCAGGGTAACCTGTTGCAGGATCTGCCCTCATGTTCATGTTTGTCATGGGTACCTTGTTTACATATGACTGTGGATACCATGTCATGGGAAGCCTTCCACCTGCATCAGGAAATCATCGTCCAGTGTCAAAGTTGTATCATTATAGGATTGAATTTTGTATATATAATAATAGAGACTCTGAATGACTTACTTGGATTATAAAACCCGAAAATCACATCTGCTATGGCAGCTCCACCAGCTTCGCCAGGGTAGCCAACCCATAGGATGCTTGTGATTTTATCATTAGATTTAGCAAAGGAGACATCCATTCCCCCACCAGACATGATGACAAGAATGACAGGTCCCTTGGATGCATTTGCAACTTGACTCACTAGAAGTTCCTGTTGTCCTGGAAGAAGAATGTTAATTCTGTCAAGGCTCTCTGCCTCTATAGCTAGACTTGCACCCACTATAATCACTGTTGCATCTGCAGATGCTGCTATTTGTGTGGCATCATCTAATTCCGCATTCGCACATTGCACGTTGGGACAGCCAGGAGCATAGCTCGTAGGAACTAAGGCTGTTAGGGCTTGCAAGGGTGATATATAGTTACAAGGAATGCCTGCAAAATTTCAGGAACTGGTCAAATGCGATGTTAAGCACAAGGTATAGATAAAAAAGTGTTCAACTACAGTAATAAAGCATCACATAAATTTTGCCTACAGTTAATATAGGTTTACCAAATTTGGCACAGTTCCCAACATCATATCCATGAGGCTATTATAGGAATATAAAATTTTGATACCTTCGTAGTTTCCAATCATGACCCTGGTAGCATTAGCGTTGGGCCCTATAACTCCCAATGATTTAATGGCTTTGGCATTGAGAGGCAATGATCCTGCACTATTTTTAAGCAACACAATCCCTTGCCTTGCAGCTTCACGGGCAAGCTCTCGGTTCTGTGAAGTGCATACATCCTTTGGACCAAGGTTTCCATATGATTGCTTGCTTGGATCACCATCAAAGAAACCAAGACGCATCAACGTGGCGAAGTTGTTGGAGACAGCATTGTTAACGGCTGCTTCATCCACAAGCCCTTGCTTCACTGCCCCTTCTGTGTATTTTCCAAGATAATCTCCACAGTTCAAATCCAACCCTGTGAAATCAAACATTACATAAGTAAACAGGTATATTGAATCATTTGTGCAAATGACATTACGATTCATGGATGCTCCAGAAGTTAGCAGTGAATATGGAAGTATATATATTGTCTTTTCACATTTTCTTACCTGCCAGAATAGTTTCGGCTGCAGCTTCTTCAGGAGTTTTGGTGTAGTGCTGATCTTTGAAAAGCACTTCTACCGAGTCACAGTCTGACACTATATATCTGCATACACCACACATTCATGTCACAGTAAAGACTGCATTAACAAACATAATCGATTTACATTACCTATGTCATAAGATTTAGGAATTAAAGATACCCATTTAATTTCCATTTGCCTCGGATAATCCCCTTAAGAAGGTCAGGGTCTGCACAGGTTGGTTTTCCATTAACCTGGTTGTAGGAACACATGACACTGGCAACATTACCATCAATCACGCAGCTCTTAAACGGTGGTTGGAATGTGTCATCCAAATCTTGTTGTGTCACCTAACAAATTCAACCGATAGGAAGTGGGACAAAATGATTTTTCTGCATTCAAATGACATTAACTTGTGAAGTTTTCAATCAATGTATTTAGTAGATTACCACAGCATTGAAGGTGTAACGCTGAACACCTTTCCAGTTATCCAAATCGTAGGCTGTATAGTGTTTGCAACAAGCAGCAACCTTGAGCTTGTCGGAATCTCCATCATCAGTTTGTTGAAGACCTTTTACGTACCCTGATGCATACTTACTACTTAGCAAAGGGTCTTCCCCCGGTGTCTCCTGTCCTCTTCCCCATCGAGGATCTCTGAATATGTTTATGTTTGGCGACCAATAAGTCAAACCGGCTAGCCCCACATTGTACATTGCTCTGGCTTCCGTAGAAACCACCTGAAATAACAAAAACATAAGTCTTAAAACACCACATGATTAGTCACAAAAATAGACGTTTCTGCATCCAAATATCACTAATTATACATTTTGATTATTTAAAGCAATTTAGTCATTTCCCATTTAAATGTACCGTAAAAATTGAGATAGAGAAAGTGATAAATGTTTAAATTATATCATTGGCAAGCAATCACATCAAAACCTCCGTATCATTCACCTTAGTTTCAATATGCAAGCTGGAAATCCATCCAAATTGTTCACATATGAAAACTAACTATTGTTTCATTTATTATTGTATTGGTTAATCAGATATTTGTACCCAAAAGTCCTGAGTGAAAAAAAAAAAGAAAAGAAAAGAAAACTACGTAACCACTCCTACTACCCACCCATCTACTTCTCCTAATCAATTAAGGATAGCTTCAACCTCGCTGATGGAAACACCTGTAAAGAACTGCATATTCAAATAACTACAAATTTAAGAACAGCTAATATATATTATTTTTACTGTGTTTTGATTTTCTCTCCCTCCAATTCGCTAAATCGGTAATGTACACGGTACAGCATTATGAAAACAACAGAGAAGTCCCCCACAATGACACAATTTTACAGACTCGGAACCCATCAAATGGCATTTCATTTCACATTCAAAACCTCACCAAACTCCCTAAATTTTTGTGATAAATAACCTACTTGGGTGATTAAAGTTAACGACTTTTGATATCCTCACTCAGTAAAAAGGGAAAGAAACCACCCTTTCCCATTTTTTGAGGAACCGTTATGAATCGTGATCCATCCCAAGAAAGAAAAGGGCCAAAAACCGGCTTCAAAACATGACAGAGAGAAAGAAAGAGTTCAAATCTCACTCACTCTTCCGATGGCTTCAAACAGAGAAGTGTTGAAAGAAGCCGCAGTGAGAATGGGCATGGGAAAACTGGTGGCACCGGGCACAACACTGGAAAAGTGGGTCCCAGGTCCAATGTTGGACACTCCATGAAGTGCCTCAGACCACCACTCATACTTGGGAATCCCAAGCCTACTCACGTTAACCGCAGAATTCACCAAATTTCCGATTTTCTCTTGCAATGTCAACCTCTTCACCAAGTCAGCCACCCTGTCCTCCACCGAGAGTGACTTGTCACAGAATCCGTAACCCGCCAAAGCCGGGTTCTTGACAACATCGCAGGCAAAAACAGCGGACGTTTGCCCCGAAACCCGTTCACAACTAAACAAAACACCGACAACACACACAAATGAGAAACAGAGGAAAACAGAAACCTTCGGTTGTCTGTTTTCGGTGCAGGCCATGTTGCAACCTCAGAAACTCAAAAAAAAAAAATGATGGATGAACACCCTAAAGGGTGTGTGTGTTTGTTGTTCAGGAGTAACAGGAGGTATCTATTGTGTATGGTTATGCATAATTTTTTAGAGTAAATAATAATGAGGACACATTGTTTTTTAGCAACCCGTGAAGGGCGAATATAGAGGGAGGGGACGATGGAAGCCCTCCCTCTGAATGCAGTAGTTGTTGTTGGTTTTGGCGGAGAGGCAAGAAAAGAAGTGAAAGATAAATTTATATACAAAATTATCAATGACTCAATGAGTTCAAGAGATTTGTTTGGAAGCACAACTTGAGGTGGGTGTATGTATGTACGTATATATTGACGCCCTGCTGCATAGAGGG